GCGGGACCTGTGATATGTGTGGCTGACCTGTGACATGTGTGGCTGACCTGTGATATGTGTGGCTGACCTGTGATATGTGTGGCTGACCTGTGACATGTGTGGCTGACCTGTGATATGTGTGGTTGACCTGTGATATGTGTGGCTGACCTGTGACATGTGTGGCTGACCTGTGATATGTGTGGTTGACCTGTGACATGTGTGGCTGACCTGTGACATGTGTGGCTGACCTGTGATATGTGTGGCTGACCTGTGATATGTGTGGCTGACCTGTGACATTTTGTGGGCTGACCTGTGACATGTTTTGGCTGACCTGTGATTGTGTGGCTGACCTGTGACATGGTGGCTGACCTGTGATATGTGTGGCTGACCTGTGATATGTGTGGTTGACCTGTGATATGTGTGGCTGACCTGTGACATGTGTGGCTGACCTGTGATATGTGTGGCTGACCTGTGATATGTGTGGCTGACCTGTGATATGTGTGGCTGACCTGTGATATGTGTGGCTGACCTGTGACATGTGTGGCTGACCTGTGATATGTGTGGTTGACCTGTGATATGTGTGGCTGACCTGTGATATGTGTGGCTGACCTGTGACATGTGTGGCTGACCTGTGATATGTGTGGCTGCCCTGTGATATGTGTGGCTGACCTGTGATATGTGTGGCTGACCTGTGATATGTGTGGCTGACCTGTGACATGTGTGGCTGACCTGTGACATGTTGGCTGACCTGTGATATGTGTGGCTGACCTGTGATATGTGTGGCTGACCTGTGACATGTGTGGCTGACCTGTGATATGTGTGGCTGACCTGTGATATGTGTGGCTGACCTGTGATATGTGTGGCTGACCTGTGATATGTGTGGCTGACCTGTGATATGTGTGGCTGACCTGTGATATGTGTGGCTGACCTGTGACATGTGTGGATGACCTGTGATATGTGTGGCTGACCTGTGATATGTGTGGCTGACCTGTGATATGTGTGGCTGACCTGTGATATGTGTGGCTGACCTGTGATATGTGTGGCTGACCTGTGATATGTGTGGCTGACCTGTGATATGTGTGGCTGACCTGTGACATGTGTGGCTGACCTGTGATATGTGTGGCTGACCTGTGATATGTGTGGCTGACCTGTGACATGTGTGGCTGACCTGTGATATGTGTGGCTGACCTGTGATATGTGTGGCTGACCTGTGACATGTGTGGCTGACCTGTGATATGTGTGGCTGACCTGTGATATGTGTGGCTGACCTGTGACATGCGTGGCTGACCTATGACATGCGTGGCTGACCTGTGACATGCATGGCTGACCTATGACATGCGTGGCTGACCTATGACATGCTTGGCTGACCTATGACATGCGTGGCTGACCTATGACATGCGTGGCTGACCTATGACATGCGTGGCTGACCTATGACATGCGTGGCTGACCTATGACATGCGTGGCTGATTCTATTGACATGCGTGGCTGACCTATGACATGCGTGGCTGACCTGTGACATGCGTGGCTGACCTATGACATGCGTGGCTGACCTATGACATGCGTGGCTGACCTGTGACATGCGTGGCTGACCTATGACATGCGTGGCTGACCTATGACATGCGTGGCTGACCTATGACATGCGTGGCTGACCTATGACATGCGTGGCTGACCTGTGACATGCGTGGCTGACCTATGACATGCGTGGCTGACCTATGACATGCGTGGCTGACCTATGACATGCGTGGCTGACCTATGACATGCGTGGCTGTCCTATGAACAATCCTTCATAGACTACCATTCCTAAACTGTGTTCGGGTGCCTTAGGCGGAGACGGTCTCGGATCAACACCCCCACTTTCCGGTCCACGACCAGGCCTCCCGGTAGATCAGGGCCTGATCAACTAGGCTGTTACTGCTGGCCGCACATATATAATGGTGTCTGTTGATATTTTGTCATTTTTAATTTTGAAATTGTATAGTAGTATTTTAACTTTAATTATTTTGCCTTGATGCTTGTGAGGGGCTCTTGATCCAAGCAACTGGACTTAATCTTCCCCTCTCTTGGATGCAGTTTGAAAGCCTCCCATTACATAGGCACTAAATGACCCCTACGGGTTCAGCGAGTTCCTCTGATTAAATTTTAACAATTGAGAACGGCATCATTCTTAAATAAAAGGACACAAATGCAACTAATGTGGCATTTTATTGTGGCAACGTTTCGCTCTCTAGGAACTCTGGAGAGCGAAACGTTACCACAATAATATGTCAGGTCGTCTATCTCATCATGTGTCAGTTTTACTAATAAAGTTGAGTTTTGTGAAATCGTACAGAATGTTTCTTCCGATAAGTAATAATGTTAATTTTTTGTTAAATTAGCGTTAACCGTTGTTTGTATTCTCCGGAACATTTATGTTCCCCCCTCATGACCATAATTAAAAAATTTGCATGTTATGTATACTAAGGTTACATGACACTTACATTCTTAAAGCTGGTCAGTCTTACGTGAAGGAAATTTTGGATTGATTTTGGCCTGTGTAGGTCCATTTTTTTTTTAGGGGATGGGGGGAAACTGGAAAAATTGAAATACTGATTTTTCGCATCTGATTAGCTTCAACACTTCCAAGCTGATAACTTAATAATTTAACTTTTAAGATTCTTCAAGCTTAATGTGCATGTTTAGTTTAGAATATTGTCTTGTTGGTCTCTTAGAAAGGTTTGAATTAGAGTTGGGTTATGTAAGCTTAATTTATCATATTTAAGACGACTTGTGAATGTCTCTCCTGAGACCCTTCAGATCTTCATCGCTAATATCTAACTGCATTATCAAACCACGGTACTGGCGTGGCTCGAACTCACGGCAAGTGAGTCGTAAAATACTCCAGTGACATGGAGTTTTACGACTCACTTGTCATGGGTTCTAACCCCACCGTACCGTGGTTTGTTTACAATCGTGTTATTGCGATTTCGTGAGTTGTGCATTATCAACCTATGCTGCACTCTGCACTGTTCCATTTACGTGCACTGACCGAAATACTTCCGAAATACATCTCATTTTATAAGATTACGCGATAGATGTGGAAGTGTACGATAGACACAGTGAAAAGCAGGGGCGCCACAGGCAAAATAAGGAAACACTGTGTCAACATCCGTGGTCCAAGACTAGTCAGCCTGCTACTACCAAGAGATATCAGAAATATTACAGGAAACCGGGTCATTACCTCTGTCATGTGCCAGGTCAAGCTGGTTTTGATTGCTGTGAGTCAGCAGGTCGCCAACAATAATAGTCTGGTTGAACAGGCAGTCAACAGAAAAACTTGGTAGAAATAAATGGTATAAAATACCGACAGAATGGAAATATAAACACTTAAGCAACATAATGTGATCCTTTATTGACAACGTTTCGCCCACACAGTGGTCTTTATCAAGTCACAAACAGATCTGTTTGTGACCTGATAAAGATCACTGTGTGGGCGAAACGTTGTCAGTAAAGGATCACTTTATACTGCTTATGTGTTTATATTTCCAGAAAAACTTGGCCCATGCTGGGTTGCAGGAATAGTTACATTCTCGAAACTTATCAGAGGTATACCAATATTTCTACCACCACAACCACAGATAACAACAAGAACAACAACAACAACAACACAATACCGTGACTGGAACAATACACAGATAACCCGCACATAAAAGAGAGGAACTTACGACGACGTTTCGGTCCGACTTAGACTATTTAAAAGTCACCACCACCACCACCGTCACCAATACCACCGTCACTACCACCATCACCACCACCACCACTTCCATGCATTTGGGTAGGATTTAGTCCTATATTCCCACTTGGCTCTTCTCCAGGTCGTCTAAAACCAGTATTCTTCCTGGTCTTGACTCCCTCTTCTTCCTCCTTCTCTCTTCACTTTTCCTCCTCCGTCTCCTTCCTTCTGTCCTGTCACTTCCTCGTTTACTTCCGTACCAGAAGATACAGAATGTAACTATGTGCTATAGAGTAAGTGCAGCAGCACACTGCTGGTTCTTCCAGGAGTTTTAAAAACTTCTCTTCCATCCCTCTCTTCCTCCTCACCTTCCCTTCCCTCCCTTTCTTATCTTTATTTCCTCTCCCTTCTCACCCCTCCCCTTCACTTCCTTTCCTTCCCTTTCCTTCCCTCCCCTTTCCTTCCCTCCGTTCCCTCCCGTCCCCACCCCTCCCCTTCCTTCTCTGTCTGCCTTTGAATGTCCTGTAGAGAAGGTGTTTGGACATTGGAGTCATCCCACAGTTATTTAAAAAGTTGTCAGTCTTTTGATGGCTATGGAGAGTATTGTTTGAATAAGGTGAGGAGAGTGAAGAATGTTGTGCAGGTGGCTGCAAGAAACACTGTACCTTCCAGGAGTGTCGTGCCTGTGACCATTGTAGAGAGTGATACTCTCCAAACCCGGATCACTGGTATCTTTATTTCAGCCCAATGCCTGGTCAGCCGGGCTGTTGCTTTCAGTGGGCCGCAGGCATTTATGCCCATCATAACCTAGCTGATCTTGCAGTTGTTACAAGCAGTCACTAGGGAAGGGAGACACCCACAAAAAGAAACCGGCAAGTTTATAAACAGCTGCAAGTACTAGTTGGGAAGCGTTGCAGGGGGAATCAGGCAGTTGGTGCTCATTAATTAACAAGTGTCTTAATTAAGGTACCGTGTATGCAGGTGAGTTAACATTACACTATTCCAGGTAGCTTGAAGGTCACGTGTAGTTCATGTGTAGTGTTCGGCTCACAACCGAGAAGACTCGAGTTTGTTTTCCGGGTTTTGCGAAGTGTATATGTAAGTTTTATTACCCCTGCTGCCCCTGTACACCCATCAGTAAATAAGTGACCTGGTGTGGTAGTATACCTTAGAGTGACCTGGCCTTTAAAATGAGCTGAAGTAGGATAAACTTAAAGTCTGAAGTTGGGTTAGCTTGTAAAATAGTGGTGATGATATAAGTAATGAAGGAGCATTAAATATAATGATTATTGAGGGGTTGTCTTCTTTACAGGGCGGTGACGGACCCGAGAGACGGCCGTCGAGTGGCTCTCAAGAAGATGCCCAACGTGTTCCAAACTTTGGTCTCCAGCAAGAGAGTGTTCAGAGAGCTACGCATGTTATGTTTCTTCAAGCATGAGAACGTGAGTACCTCTACTTTTGTTAGTGTACCTGTCTTACTACTGCTGTAGTCTTGTTAGTAGATGAATGGTTCAGAGAACCGACATGTTGTTAGTGTACCTTCCTTACTACTTCTGTAGTCTTGTTAGTGTACCTGTCTTACTACTGCTGTAGTCTTGTTAGTGTACCTTCCTTACTACTTCTGTAGTCTTGTTAGGGTACCTGCCTTGCTACTGCTGCTGTAGACTTGTTAATGTGACAACCTCATGTACCTGTTAACGTCTAATCTGGGAAACAATCATGAGCACCCCAAATCTTCACCAGTGCCTGGAAGAGAAACATATAAGGTCCGTATTGAATTTGTACCATTGAGGAAACCCAGATCAGATATAGAAAGAGAGAATATAAGATTGTTGTACAGGAGAAAAAATGTTACTGAATTGCTTAATAACGTGAATGTCACAACGAAGGAAAGATAATCTTAGCCGAGAGATCACCGAGACAGAACAAAAACTTAATCTGTCGTACCAAACAGAAGAAGCACAAGAGGAACAAAAAAGCCATCCAGGATATTACAAGAAACACCAAATATTTCTATACATATGCAAACTCTACACTAAGACCTACCTGCAGAATTGGACCATTAATAACAGGAGGATTATATGCTGACGATGAACAGGAAATGAGCCGAATTCTAAAAGATCAGTATGAATTGATGTTCATCAACCCACTAAATGACAGCAGGATAGTGAATGCAGAAGAGTGTTTCATTTCATCTGAAGGCCACGCGGACCAAAAAACTAATACTAGTACAAGTCCCATAAAATTCGAAAAAGAAATCGAAAACAATCCTGTTCATTCACCACCTAGAGCAGATTCATGGAATTCCATATTAAACAAAAAATCCAAACTACCACTAGCACGAGCCTTCAGTATTCTTTAGAGAAAGTTAGATCTACATGAAATACGAGAGACCTTTTAGAGTACAGACATATCTCCTTTCAGTAAGGAAGGTGATGCAGCACTAGCCCTATTATGGAACTACAGTCTGAACAACCGAAGCCAACTCGGCTTTAGGACTGGAAGATCATGCTCGTCACAAATACTGAATTACTATGACAGAATTAGAGGCGTTGAAATAAAACCAAAACACAGATGTGATATACACAGATTTTGCAAAGGCGTTTGACAAATGCGATCATGGGGGGATTTCACACAAAATAAGGGCCAAAGGCATTACGGGGAAGGTAGGCAGAGGGATTTTCAAGTGTCTAACTTAGAACATAAACAGTGGTAGTAAACAGAGCAAAATACAGCTTCAGCGAGGTAAAAAGCTCACTGCCCCAAGGCACTGTTCTGGCACCTCTGCTGTTTCTCATCCTCATAGCAGACATAGATAAAAACACCCGGCACACTTTTGTATCATTTGCAGATGACACTAAACTAAGCATAAAAGTCACTTTGGTAGGAGAAATTGAAAATTTGCAGGAAAATATATGCAGGGTTTTCAAGTTGGGCAGTGGAGAGCAACATGACATTCAATGGTGATACGTGCGAGCTGCTTAGATATTCAAAGAATGAAAAACTCGAAAGGAACACTGTGTACAAAATTAAAGAAGACATTAAACAGAACGATAGAAACACGTGAAAGACCTGGCCTTTCAAAGAACACAATAAGGCAAATGTCACAAAAGCCAGAAAATGACAGGGTGGACAATGAGAACTTTCAAAACAAGGGAAATAACGCCAGTGTGACACTTTTCAAAATGCCTGTGCTCCCTTATTTGGAATATTGCTCAGTGTTGACGGCCCTGTTCAGGGTAGGAGAAATATCAGAACTGAAATAGAAACAAAGATCATTTACGGCCCACATAGAACCAATGAAATATTTAAATTACTGGGAACGCCCTAAAGTCCTAAATATGTACTCATTGGAGTAGAGGAAAGAGAGATACATAATAATATATACCTGGAAATTACGTGAGGGCTTTGTCCCAAATCTGCACACTGCCTTAACAACATACTGGAGTGAGAGATATGAACCTATTGAAAAACAAAGGCGCCGTGGGCACAGTAAGGAAACACTGTATCAACATCCGTGTCCTCAGACTATTCAACATCTTACCAGAAGATATCAGAAACACTGCTGCGACAAGTGTAGAAGTCTTCAAGAGGAAACTGAACAAGTATCTTCACCAGATGCCAGATCAACCGAGCTGTAATGGATATGTCTGCCAGCATGCAACCGGCAGCAAGAGCTTGGTTGACCAGGCAAGCACAAGATGAGCCTGTCTCATGGCCGGGCTCCTGGAGTAAAAAAAAAAAGCGCTCCAGACTCATCAAATGTATGACTTCAGAAATTCTGTATAGAAATGGGGCAATATTACTGGGAGGAAAGATGCCGAGAAGTGTGTCTGGGTTGTGTGAACTCGCAATATTCTCTTTGGGTGCCTTGCAACCGTTGCAGCCCTCCTAGGAGAGTCCCTGCGTCCTGGATGCTGTCTACATCGGCCTCCTCTTCTCTTGCCATTCCCGTCTTTTTTGAAAGCTTTCTTGCTCTCCCCAACTAAATGTAGCTGATCATGAGTGTCTTGGTACATATATCAGAGTTTTGAGACTCTGACCGCAGGTTCAAACCCCACCCGTGGTATGGTTTGTTTGAGTAATAAAAGCTACGTCAATTCTTCTTAACAGGAGGAGATAGAACCAACACTTACTCAGTACTTGAATCCTGATGTGATAACCAACACTTAGATATCACTTAACACCTGAGGTGATGAAGCTAACACTTAGATCTCAACTAACACCTGAGGTGATGAAGCCAACACTTAGATCAGTACTTAATACCTGAGGTGATGAAGCCAACACTTAGATCATCACTTAACACCTGAGGTGATGAAGCCAACACTTATATCATCACTTAACACCTGAGGTGATGAAGCCAACACTTAGATCATCACTTAACACCTGAGGTGATGAAGCCAACACTTAGATCATCACTTAACACCTGAGGTGATGAAGCCAACACTTATATCATCACTTAACACCTGAGGTGATGAAGCCAACACTTAAATCATCACTTAACACCTGAGGTGATGAAGCCAACACTTAGATCATCACTTAACACCTGAGGTGATGAAGCCAACACTTAGATCAACACTTAATACCTAAGATTACAAAACTAGCACTTAAAAGTAGCTGGCACCATTATTACTTGGAGATTAGCACATTGAGGTAATCACTATACAAATTATAAAGTTTACACATTCTATTCCATCTTAGGTGGATGCCGAGGCTAGAGTAACATCACAATACTTGATTAACAAAGTTGTGGCGGATATACGTTTAAGACTGTGGGCCGCTAACAGCAACAACCTGGCTGACCAGGCAGTGAACAAGGCAGCTCTGGTCTCATGTTAGGCTAGTTTCTGATCAGACATCGACAATATAGACCAAGATTTTTTTTTTTTCGAATTAACACTGGAGGATCAATAAGCAAGGAAACGCACTGTGGTTTATTGTCACTGGGGTCATATTGAGGTTCGCTCAGGATGCGATCCACAGTAGTCGAGTAACTCAGGCATCTGTTTACTGCTAGGTAACAAGTGCAGCAGGTGTTAGGATTACCCAGCCGTGCCATCCCATGTAGTAGTCAACCTAGATCATCTCACTAGTGAGTAGAACGTGCTATCACTGCATTACCATGCAGCATAAGATCAAGAAAAAAAAGTGCTTGAGAAATGTTAAAGTATGTGAAGGAGTGAGAGACAGAGAGATCGAACCTTGTAAGAATAAGTGGGAAGAAGGTGGGATTATGGGAGATGTTTGTGTGATGGAGAGAGAGAGAGAGAGAGAGAGAGGGGAGAGAGAGAGAGAAGAGAGAGAGAAGAGAGAGAGAGAGAGAGAGAGAGAGAGAGAGAGAGAGAGAGAGAGAGAGAGAGAGAGAGCGAGAAAGCGAGAGATATGTGAAGGATGGACGGAGAGAGACGGAGCCTTGTAAGAGGGAGCTGGCTACAGGAGTGGGTGTCTGGGAAGGGCAGCAGGGAGGTGGTGGAACACTACGTCCTTGTCTCAAGTCATTTTTACGTCAGACTGAACTGCGGCGGAGGCAGCGTTGTTGTCGTTGTTGTTCTTCGCTCAGGTTGCCAGGCTGTGCTTTGCTATTTCCTGGTGCTACTCACCTGCTGACACTATTTTCAACAGTTAGCTCCTAAAGAATCAATAAGTATGACACGAACATTATGAGCAAAGAAGTTATCACCTTGGGTATTTAGAGAAGGATTAGAGGAGCTGAGTGATCTCTTAACAATGATACACAAGTCGGTGGAGAGAGGTGTAGCTATCAGACAGCTCGACAGCTGCATATGTGGTTCTAGTATACAAAAGAAAAGAGAGCATTAAACCAGTCTCGCTGACTAGCGTACTGACTGTGCTAGAAAATAAATTAGAAAGAGAAGAGCTGATCATCTTTAAAGAAATGTATGCATTAAAGACAACTAACACAGGTTTAGAACTAGCAAACCTTATATTACAGATCTCTTAGAGTTTTATAACAATGATTGAAATAAATCAGGAGAGAAAAGGTCGGGTTGATTGTATCTTCATCGAGAATTTGACACAGTGCCACACCACAACACACAGGAAGAGCAGGCAGGAGCAGTAGGGAAAGTTAGGTGAATACCTGTAAGTTATCTGTAGTCTGTTTCTGTGGGTCACCGGTCCCCAGACCAGGCTTCCTGGTTGTTGGCTGATCGACCAGGCTGTTGGTGCCAGCACACAGATTTACATATATACTACAGCCGACTGACCAAGAACTAACTTTTGAGTCTACCAGGACTCCCGGTATATCAGGGCCTGGTCAATCAGGCTGTTACTTCTGGCCGCACAAGTCCAGTGTACGAACCACAGCCCGGCTCATCGGGTTCTGACTTTAGGTATCTGTCCAGCTCCCTCTTGAAGGCAGAAAGGAGTCTGTTGGTAATTTCCCTTATACCTGTTGGGAGGCTCTTGAATAGTCTTGGGC